TCTATCCTTGATGTATGTTCTTCTTTGATTGATCACCTTTGAAAGCATGCTTCTTGAGGTTGTTGGGATTATGTGTATCTTCATGTTATCCTAAGCAATAAATGGGTGAAGTAAGAATTATCCATGTGAATTGGTTTCTTGAATACCTAATGTAAACACCATGCTATTAGGATTCTTGTGATGTTCATATTCTCTTTGAACTTAATGGGTTTTTCTTGTAATTGAATCAAAGTACTAAGCACACCTATATTCGATTATAGGGAAGGCACAAGTATTGTAGCACTCGTACTGCACTGTTCACGGCACTGTTCACGGCACTGTTCACAGGTGATAAATAGGTGATAAAAGGGTGATAGAAAGTGCTGTTTCTGTTTTTCTTTGGTTTCTTGTGTTGTTTCTTTTCTTTTACATTTCTTTACTCATTTTTAGTTTCCAATTTGCATTTGTGCATTTGTGGTGTGTTAAATTAGTGTTATTTACGTACTCAAACTATAACTTATAGGAAGCCGACAAGTTCTTCGTGGGATCGACCCCGTACTTACATAATCTTTACTTCATTAGATTCGTGCACTTGCGGGTATTTTTAATTGGTTGTTTGCACATTAATTTGTGTCCTTTTAGGAATGCAACACATAGATTTATAGAATGATGGGTATATGTCTAGAAAATAGAAAATGTAGGGATCTATATTGAACAAGTCCTTTATTTTAAGATTCGAACCTTTATTATTAGTCTAAATAATAATATGAAGATTGTAATAACAGTTGGATTTAAAAGGACAGCCATAATCTTTTATTAAGGATTTTCGTAAAGTCATGTCTCATGTAAATGAGAAATTTTTGTATCCCTATAGTCTTCTCTTACTTTTCTTCTATTAATGGACAATCTGATAAACTCTTGGCATCCCGATTACAGTGCATCTCTTGACATCACATGTCAGATCTTTCTAGTTCCATTTTTGTTTTATATAATGGTTTATATTTTATGTCAATAAACATTCACTGCAAATTGCATCATAAACATGTCACGTGGCAAAACACTCTAAATCAAGTTTTGCTCATCAGTTCAAGATGTATATATCGTCGTCATCATTCTCAACACTTGACACATGTCCATGCATAACCATTATTCCATAAATACAAAGTAAAAAGTTAACTATGATTATGCCTATGAACACGTTAGGTTAATGCAGTGAACAAAAATATTTCCGTTTAAAGGGGAGAGAACTCCCGAGGAATCCCCAGCAGCCCATCTGTAGGCATTGACAGGTTGTTTTGCTTCAGCCGCTGCTTTAGACATTGTCCCTAGCTCCAATTTTCTGAAGATATCAAGTTGTTTTGGATTTGAGATGATGACGTGCATATTTTTATAGCATTAGATTTTGTGAGATTAGCAATAACGCTCACATGGAATGGAAGTCGCGGCTGTCGTTTCCCCACCTAATTTTCGAAACCTTTCATATGTTAGGACCAGTATGAAAGATACGTCTTCAATGAAATCAAATTATTTTTTGAGCTAAGAACTAGTACAAAGATTAGGTCAAAATGGACTCTTTAAACAAACCGTCGGCAATAATTGGCCAAAATTCTGATACAAATGTTTCAGTTTTTTTATAACAAGTGCAATATGTTAAAAGAAGGTGAGATGGTTTATAGTTGGCTTGTAAGTTTCATTAGACGTGGGTTAGGCCAATTTATGAGTGCAGTGAGCCTATTTATTTGCACTCAATTTTATTTTAGAATAGTCTATCGCTTGTATTTAAAATAAAATAAAAACCTCTTTAGTTTAATGCAAATTGCTACTAGGTCCAGATGCTTCTTCAATTTGGTTTGTTTCATTTGTCAAAAGCAGCCCATAGGGAAGATGCCAGTCCAAGACGCTGCGTTTTGCGTGCTGTTTTATTTTTTATAGAGGAGCGACTGACTGACATTACGGTAGCCGGATGTCGAATTAAGTCGCAAAGTGCCACGGAACCTGAACAGAGGCTAGGGGAGGATCCTAATTTAAAGCTACTACTACCACAATTAACTAATTTTCCGTTTGGTTCCACAGAAAGAAACTAAAGCAAAATTTAGAAAACCAATTATAATAAACCCAAAACTATGGTTTTGAAGCCTCTTTACGATTCGCTTATATATATTCTTAATGCTTCTTTCATTGTTTGTTCATATATGTATCTATGCATTTTGTATTTCAGTTGTTATTATGACTTACTCTTGCTAGTCTCTGCGAAACTTGCCGTGTGGTTACAATGCACACCAACTGTTCGATGAAAAGAACTTCTATAACAACACTAGGATACATGCATGCATGGTATAATTGAATGGAAGTACGGTATATTGGAAAATAGAATTCCTTTTTGAAAAAAAAAACCCTTTTGAAAGTAATCAAATCCTAATCCCTGGATACGATAAATGCTCTGGGTTATCAAAGGTAAAAGCAGCAACATTCTTGTTGAAAATGGACTCTGCGTCTGCGTGGTTGTAAGTCCTTGTCTGGAGGATTAACATGAAACATTTTGTTCCTTTAGCTATTAGTTAACGTTAATTATTACATTTCATAATCTTCATTCCCCTGTTATTCAGGTGCTCTGATTGAGATTGGTAGAGGGTATTTCTGCAGCCATGTCTGCGACCAAGATTCGGACAAGTTGCTTCTCTCCCAACTTTGTAGCTTCAAACTCACCTCAAATCCCTGGACTCAAGCATGGTCCCATGGCACAATGTTCATTTCATCTGGGATACTGGACCTTGACAGTAATCTTCTATCACTAATAGTTTATCGGGAATAGTTAAACCAAGCTGAGGTGATTAATTGGAAATTTTTTTCTTTTTTTATTATTGTACTTTTTTAATTATTTATAGAAGTTTTATAAGGTTGTCTTTGGTTTGTAGAGATTTTAGGTGGTGGGCTTTCCCTAGGAAGCCTAGTCATGGTGATGGAAGATGCAGAAGTACCTCATCATATGCTTTTGATTAGAAATTTTATGTCTCAAGGACTCGTTCACAACCAACCCCTTCTCTATGCAAGCCCATCCAAGGACCCAAGACAGTTTCTCGGTACTTTGCCTTTCCCACAATATTTGGTCGGCTGACACAAGTCTTCCTTTGGCCATGTGATGGCTAGTGTGGCAGCCATCATGAAGAAACTATCAACACACGTGGGTGCAATTTGAGTCAATAATCAACAATAAGTCTAGTCATCGAGATCCTGATCAGGTTGTTCTCTTCTTCCATTCTTCTCTCCATGTATTTGTTCAATAATTCTGTTTGTAGGGTGAACATTAGGAAATTTATAATTCTTTTATTAATTTTCAGGAGAAAAGGGTTGAGAATAGCTTGGCAATATAAGAAGTATATTTGGGAAAATCAGCAGAGTTTTGATAGTCAAGGTGGCAAGTTTGTCCTTATTTTATTTAGTATGAGATGTGCCTCATTCGCTCATAACTGGTTTAGATTTCAAGAGTGGTTTGTTATGTTGTCGTTGTCCAAATAGAAAACATGAGTTCTGCAATGAATTTGACTTTCGGAAGCCCTTGGAGAGGCAATTTCTAAGCGGGATGCGTATTGATTGCGTTAGCATTCAAGAGTCTCCAAATCTTGTTGCCCTTCATGAGCACATTTTTATCTCAATTTCCAAGGTATGGTACTGTTGTCTTATGTTTTCCTGCCTAGAGATTTACTTATAGGATGTGACATATCTGGTTAGTGAAATTATATGCATGCCAATTGGTTTTTCACAATGTCAAACTAGCTTTGTTCATTGTGGAGACGAATTTTCATTGACTCTATGTCCTGTTTATGCGTGTGTGCGTGTATTTTATGGTGGGATGGTTTGGGTGGGAAGACCAGTACAAATTTCATGAAATTGAATGTCTTTGGTATTCATTTTTGCAGCTTGTGCGAGGAAATGAAACAATTACATTTAACCTTTTATTTCTAAGAACTGTCTATAACCTCTTTGATCTTAAAAAATCAAATGAGATTGCTGCCGGATGTTGTAATTCTCTTAGTTTCTTTTCTGTTTTTGTAATGGTTCTTGTATATTTTAAGAAAATCTGAATTTGGGTCCTCAAGAGTTGTCATTAAGACTCCACTACTTGGCGTGTAATGAAACTAATAATCCATAAGGTATTTTTGGTGGCCATGGTCAAATGCTTTGTTTTCCTTTTTTTTATATTTTATTTTATTTTATTCTTTTTCGTTTCTTTTTCTCTTTTTAAGTTTGATCATACATTATCTCCTTCCTTTGGCTGAAAATACAAAACTGATGACAGCATTTCTTCTGTTGGTCGTATATTCAATCATTCTGTGCTCCACAATGTGAATATTCCAACATGGTTAGTGGAAATTGTTATTTGCTCTTCAACTTTATATTTGATTTAGCCTCTGAGTCACAACTGCTTCTTGTTTCCTTTGCTTCAGTTTTGTTGTTAGGGCTCTGAACGACTTCTCATTTCCTTGCTGTCGGTCAAAGTAATTCCAGGTTATTATCAGCTTTAGCATTTATTTTTGCTATCGAATATTTTGACAATAATAATCTATAATGAAACATTCATTCAGACAAGGACAAGGAATTGGAAAAGCTCCTTACTGGTAACATGGTTGGCCTTCTCAATGTGCACAAAGTTGCACGTATTAATACACAGGTATTGTAAAACTTTACTTCACCTATATGAATCAAGTTTTCCGTCTCTCCTTTTTCTTTGGATGAAGTTACCATGTGAACTTGCCATGAATGCGTAAACATGCACCTGTATGACCCACCTTTTCACTCGGTCATCCTTAGAACACCTTTGGTACTTTAGCTTTTTCTGCTAACATTTCCATTACTATGAACTTTTGGTTGATTGTTATTTATAATTTCTAATGCGTCATCAGGTTCCTGTGATTCTTGAGTCAACAACCTTCTCAATAAATTTGAAAAAGCGGAGGTTTATGGTTTTAGAATGTCTAAACCAAGTCCCTATCGATGGTTCAAGTGGAAGTTCATATGGCACTTCTAGTAGTTGTTCTGTGTCCTCTAAAACTGGGACGCTTGATTTTTAGTTCTCAACTTATGACATTCATTTTAGAAATGTAATTGATAAGAAATTAGATTGTTAAAGTCAAATCTAGGAATCATCCATCAGCCATGATTGCATATAACTCCGTGTGTGTTTCTACAGGATGTTTGATGAAGCAGTAGGAACAATTAGAATATAGGAAGTTTTTATTTCCCAAATAAAAGTACGAAAACAAGGTGTTTGCTTTTCTCTAATTTAATACACCGCCATTATGCATTATTTACATCTCTCTCTCTCTCTCTCAAAAATTTAAGATGTAGACTTTAGTGTGTTTCCAACATCGATTACAAATCGATATTTGACACCGGATTTGGCAAGACGTTCCATGGCAGTGTTCAAATAATCAACCGGGATAACCTCAATGTCAGCTGTAACGTTGTGCTTGACTGCAAAATCAACCATCTCTTGTGTTTCCTTCATACCGCCAATCCGACTCCCAGCTACCATCTTCCTGCCTGTAATTGCACCATGTGCAAAGGGTAAGACAAAAAATATCAACAGGTAAAAGGCAGTCAACTTGTCATTCGGAGTCAAGATAGATGCTTACCCATGAGCAAAGAAAAAGCTGGAATCTGAATATTTTTCTCTGGTGCAGTAACCATCACAAGCTTTCCATTGGACTTTAACAAACCAATTAAAGGCAAAAGAGGATGGGCGGCAAAAACCGTGTCAATGATACCATCCATTGTTCCCATGGCAGCCTACAAATTACCAAACAACTAAATCAATCTGCTGAGTTAAAGTCATCATCACCATGGCAACTTGTTCAAACAATCACCTGCATCTGATCTTGATCATGGCTAACTATAAACGAATCGGCATGAAGATGTTCAATTGCTTCCTTCTCCTTATTAGGGGAGGTGCTGATCACTGTAACCTTCACCCCCATGGCCTTGGCAAACTTCACGGCCAAGTGCCCTACTCCACCTAGGCCAACCACACCCACATGCATACCGGGTTTGTCTAGTTCAAAATATCTCAAGGGGCTATAAGTTGTAATCCCGGCACAGAAGAGAGGAGCAGCACCGTCAAGGGGAAGGTTGTCTGGAATACGAACTATGAAGTGCTCATCGACCACCATGAAGTCGGAGTAGCCTCCATATGTTGTGGTTCCGTCGTGGTACTTTTCACCATAGGTGAGTATCAGTTTGGGGCAGTAATTCTCGAAATTATTGGCACAACTATCACAAGATTGGCAAGATCCCACCATGCATCCAACACCAACCTTGTCTCCAACTTTGAATTTTTCTACTTTGCTTCCTACCTCTGTCACTACACCAACAACCTCATACCTGAATTCAATTAATCAGTTCCACATTTGGTTAGTTAAATGGACATCACAATGAATTACACATACTAAGTTCAATAACATAAAAAGAATGTTAAAAAATATTGTGCTGTTGACATTATTCAAACCATTAATTAGATGGATATCAACATGAGATGAAACTATTTAACTCTTAGTCTAGTGATATTTCTTCTTTTAGCGTCAGAAGAGGTTGGATCTCGCTCCCACGTCGTTTATCGAGATTCCCAAAAAAAGGTTAGTATATTTGTGAGACTTTGTATACGTACCCAGGAACAATAGGATAGCTAGTAGTCCCCCATTCATTTTTGACCTTGTGAAGGTCCGAATGGCATATCCCGCAGTACAAAACTCTTAAAGCCACGTCTTTCTTTCCCGTTTTCCTGCAACCAAAATCCCTTCAAAAACTGAGTTCATTGGAAGGAAAGATTGTACCACGAACAAAATAAAGCATGGAACTTATACGAGTTGAATATAATATTTTGTTTTAATTTTTGAAGAAACCAAAGAAAGACTGGTATTCCTATAGTGAAAAGAACGCGGCAAGTAAAGTAAATAACAGGATGGAGAAGATATAGAATATATGACAACCTTCTGGAGATTTTGAAGGGAGAGAGAACGCCAGAAGAATCTGTGGCAGCCCATGCAAAGGCCTTATTTGGGTGTTGCTCTGGAGATACCATTTCCATTTTCTCTCTCTTACAATATAATGTAGAGTGAGAATCTGAGGTGGGTAGAGAAGAGATTGTGAAAGTAGCAATTGCGATGTTGTTCATATATATATAGAGAGAGGATGTGGGTCCTACCTACCTCAATTTGATAGGGACTGGTTCAAAGTAAACTGCTTCATGACGCATTGGGTGAGCTAAGGATCATAAGTCAAGAGATTAATTAGACCAGAAGAAAAACTCCTCACCGAATTTAAAAAGACATATTTTAATGGTTTTGGCAACTTGCTTTTAAGAAGACAAATTTTACTCGTCAAAACCATTGTGGCGAGGCAAATGTGAGTTTCCTTCCAATTTTGTTCTCCCTTGTGTTAGAAGCTGCGTAAACCATAAAATAAATATGCTCTTGTTGTCAATCGTCGATCATGTTGTTGCAATGATAAATAGTTTTGAATGATAAAGTGAATCTTCACTATGAAAATGTCCTAATAAGATCTGTTCATCTCATAAATCACCATTTAATCATCATTTAACGATCATCTCTTCAAAAAATCAATCATACCTCACCCGAAAATTTGATTCCAAAATACACAAACCATTCCATTTTATTTAAGATCCGTCCTGTCACATGTGCTGACAGACAGTCTGATATGTTTACACAACAGCCACATACAACAGTTAAGACCACAAAATCGATTCCATGATGCACAACTTAAAAGGCAGGCTTCAATGTATTTCCAACGTCGATAACAAATCGGTATCTGACGTCCGCTTTCGCGAGGCGCTCCATAGCAGTGTTCACATAGTCAATAGGTATAACCTCAACCTCGGCTGTTATGTTGTGCTTGGCCGCAAAATCAATCATCTCTTGTGTCTCCTTCACACCTCCAATGTTGCTACCACCGACCATCTTTCTTCCTATAATTGCAAAATAAACAGTTGTTAATACACTCATCAAATTCTCTCAATCAAAATTATAGCTTTCTTTTGTCCAATCCAATGTTTGAACTTTGAAGTGAGTTACGCCATTTATATGCGCTTTACCCATTAGCAAAGGAAAAACAGGAAGCTCATGGGGCTTCTCTGGTGCACCAAGCACCACAAGTTTTCCGTTAGTCTTCAACAAACGAATCAAAGGCAAGATAGGGTGAACTGCAGAAACCGTGTCGATTATACCATCCATTGTGCCCCAGGCCGCCTACAAAATTAAGGAGACAAAATATTATATCATCCTCCTCTATACATAAATGAAAGTCATCAATGCAACTTGACAATACCAGCATCTGATCTTGTTCGCGGCTGACCAAAAATGAATCGGCTTTGAGACGTTTAATAGCTTCCTCCTTCTTACTAGGGGAGGTACTAATCACTGTAACCCTAACCCCCATAGCCTTGGCAAACTTCACTGCCACATGGCCTAGACCACCAAGGCCAACCACACCGACATGCATGCCAGGTTTGTCGAGGCCATAATATCTCAAGGGGCTGTAGGTTGTAATCCCGGCACAAAGGAGAGGAGCAGCACCCTCAAGAGGCAGGTTATCCGGAATTCGAATCACGAAGTGCTCATCGGCCACCATGATGTCGGAGTAACCTCCATATGTGGTGGTTCCGTCGTGGTACTTGGCACCATAGGTGAGTATAAGTCTGGGGCAGTAGTTCTCAAGATTGTCTGCACACTTATCACAAGATTGGCAAGATCCCACCAGGCACCCAACACCTACCTTGTCTCCAACTTTGTATTTTTGCACTCTACTTCCTACCTCTGTCACTACTCCAACAATCTCATGCCTGATTTCCCAATTAAATTGAGTTAACATTTGATTAATTACATGGTTAGCATAATCAGATATCAAAGATGATTAGCATAACCATGCGGAGAGTATGTATGTACCCGGGAACTAAGGGATAGGTAGTAATCCCCCATTCGTTCTTCACCATGTGAAGGTCAGAATGGCATATCCCACAGTATAACACTTTGAATGCCACATCTTTCTCTCTCGTTTCTCTGCAACCAAATCACTTCAGTTTGAGACAACCAAATAAAAAACAAAAAACCAATATATCCAAGATTGAAATAAAAATGTAAATAAAATGAAACAAGATTTGAAGGAGAATATAACCTTCTTGAGAAATTGAAGGGAGAGAGAACACCAGATGAATCTCTGGCTGCCCATCCAAAGGCCTTCTTGGGGTGTTGCTGCTCTTGAGACTTGGCCATAATTTTTTTTTTCCTCTTACACTTAAAACACACACCGACTATATGTTAGCGTTAATCAGTATATATAATGGATAGTGACCGAGTGACAGTCTGAGAAGCAGCAGTATTCCCACGTGGCAGTATGAGGGACTTTATGCGCTGTCTGTGTAGAGAGGATGTGGCAGCAGGGTTTGGTGCATGCTGTTGAGCTGAATAGGGTTCTCACATTTGTCAAATTCTTTTAGCTTTTTTCAGCTTTTGAATTCCTTTAAATTTTTTTTTGCCAAAAAAAAAGAAATTCTTTAATTCTTTTTCTTTTCAAATTTAATAAGTGTTAAAATTCCATTCATTCTACGTAGGAGTTCCTCCTTAATTTTAAGGTGCCAAACCATGCTCCTCCGTTAATATATGTTCCACGCTACTACTGCCTCAGGTGGATCAACAAACAATTGGCTCTTCAAGAAAAATAGGGACATTCTATTTCTAATCTCTGATTTAATAATTGGAAGCATTCAGATTTTAGGTTATTTGTGTAAGAATTATATATTCATAGAAAAAATTGGCTAATTTGAGATATTTTTAGTTAAACTGTTATCTACACTCCAATAAGAGCAAGTGCAGCGGTAAGCCCAAGCTTGGGGCTAGTGGTTGCCCGGGCTGAGTGTGGGCTCCACAAGCTTGGACTGGCCCTCAGGCTAAACCAGCCCTAGTACTAGCCAGGGTTTGCTGACGTAGCAACCAAAAAAATTTAAAAAAAATCTAATTTTTTTTTAAAAAATACTAAAAATTTCAAATTTTTTTTAAAAATAAATACTTAATCATATTTTTTACTTTCCACATAAAAAATATATACAAATTCCTCTCCTCATATCTTATGGGAATAGTGATTGCCATGGCAACGGATGGAAACACACATTGCTTTTTGCAAGGGCAACCACTATTCACTTGAATAGTGTGGCTGCCCTAGCTCCCCCTTGCCATGGGGGAGGGCAAATGGGTGGAGTTGCTCTAACGTCGAGAATTTTTTTAAAAAATATTCTTTGATAGCCGTAGCAATTTCATTAAGGAAATGAAAAATATAAGAAATAGAGAGCCCCAAAAAGGATTCTTGCAAACAATAGAATAAGATGCAAAACAATAAACACAACCATTACAAACATACAGTGAGCAAAGTCAATTCTCATAAAGAAATATATATATATATATATAAATATTTGAAATTGTAAACGAGATCAGTTATCAATACTATCCTCTCACAAACGATATCTACGGATGCGCATAACCAATACATTATCTCCCATTGCAGCCCGCACATATGTGAATTTGAGAATTCCAAACAAGGGTGATATGTGATTGTTTTTCAAAACTATTGAATTGGTGGAACTGGAACCTTTGATTGGAACAAACCAAACCAAATCCTCACCTGAAACTTGATTCCGAAATCAGCAAACTTTTCCATTTATTCTTTTAGATAAGATCCATCCTATCATATTGTGCTGATAGTAGTACCAAGAAGAGTTTACATAAAACACAACAAAAATTGAGACCACAAAATCAAACTCAATTTCGATTGCCTGTTCATCCATTGATTTAGACCGGGATGCAAAATTTAAGTAGACTTCAATGTGTTCCCGACGTCGATGACAAATCGGTATCTGACATCTGTTTTGGCAAGGCGCTCCATGGCAGTTTTCAAATAATCAATTGGGATAACCTCAACTTGGGCTGTTATGTTGTGCTTGGCTGCAAAATCAATCATCTCTTGTGTCTCCTTCATGCCTCCGATATTACTACCAGCTACCATCTTTCTTCCTGTAACATTTCCAAAGTAAGTGCTTGAATAAACCATCATCCAATGCAACCCCATAATAGAAGTGAGTTATGTCATAGGCTTACCCATTAGCAAAGGAAAAACTGGAAGCTCTAGGGGTTTCTCTGGTGCACCAACCATAACAAGCTTTCCATTAGACTTCAACAAAGCAATTAAAGGCAAGAGTGGGTGGACTGCTGAAACTGTATCGATAATGCCATCCATTGTGCCCACAGCAGCCTACCAAATTAGCAGCACAAAAGATTAATTAGATCATAATCTAGTTAAATTCATGATCAATGCTACTTGTTTAAGTAATCACCTGCATCTGATCTTGATCACGGCTGACCAAAAACGAATCGGCACGAAGATGTTCAATAGCTTCCTTCTTTTTATTAGGGGAGGTACTTATTACTGTAACCCTAACCCCCAGAGCCTTGGCAAACTTCACTGCCACATGTCCAAGACCACCTAGACCAACCACTCCCACATGCATACCAGGTTTGTCAAGACCATAGTATCTCAATGCGCTGTAGGTTGTGATCCCTGCGCATAGAAGAGGGGCAGCACCATCAAGAGGAAGGTTGTCCGGAACACGAATTACGAAGTGCTCGTCGGCCACCATGAAGTCAGAGTAACCTCCATATGTGATGGTTCCGTCATGGTACTTGGCACCGTAGGTGAGTATGTATTTGGGGCAGTAATTCTCAAGATTGTTTGCACAATTATCACAAGATTGGCAGGATCCTACAATGCACCCAACTCCTACCTTGTCTCCAACTTTGAATTTTTCTACTTTGCTCCCTACCTCTGTCACTACACCAACAATCTCATGCCTACATTGCCCAATTGAGTGTGCATGCATTTCATTAGTGAAGTTAATCAATAACTAAATTCATAGCATTAGTCCAATTCACGGAGAAATCTTTTCGGTCCGGCAGCTGCCAGTATGTCATTCTATCACAACCAAACATTCCCTGTATTGGGGCCATGGGCCTCGCTTGGTGTTTGTGCGGGTGGGTGGCCGATGCCGGACCAAAAGAATTTCTCTAAGTAAAATATTGTTAAAATTGATAGAAAATTAATGTAATTTTTTGTTAAAAGATTGCATGTTTAGTATAATGGATAGTATATGACTCCATACCCGGGAACCAGAGGATAGGTAGAATAACCCCAGTCATTCTTAACCATGTGAAGATCAGTATGGCATATACCACAGTATAACACTTTGAATGCCACATCTTTCTCTCCTGTTTCTCTGCAACCAAATCAGTTCAATTTTAGACGACAAATCTAAAACTGAGATCCTGGAAAGCAAAAACTACCAACTAAATCATAAAAAAAGAAAACAAGAAACCGGGAAACTTGTGTACTTAATCAAATAATTTTTATTTTTAATTTTTTTCAGTTGCATGCTGTTTTTCAAGAACCAAAAAAGCAGACAAATCCAAGATGAAGTGAAAATGTAAATCAAAGAAACAACAATCGGATCTAGTAGTAGAGTTAATAATGTATGTACCTTCTTGAGAAATTAAAGGGAGAGAGAACACCAGATGAGTCTCTAGCAGCCCATCCAAATGCCTTCTTGGGGTGTTCATGCTCTGGAGATTTCGCCATTTTTTCTTTTCTAACTTCAAACACAAACCGACTGATAGCAGAGTGTGAGTTTGTGTCAGGCACAGATTGTGAAAGTAGCAATTTACAAGTGGCACTATGAGATTTCATGCATGTATATGTAAAGATGATGTGGCAACAGGTTTGGTGTTGAGCTGACGCATCGGGTGAGCAAATGGCTAAGAGGGAATCTTTCTTTGCTGACCAGAAAATTTTCTTGCAAAAGTACACAGTGGTCTTCGCAGTGCCTTTAAAATCTCTTGTATTCTTTATAAAAAGCTTTACTCCTTTTTTTTTTTGTTTCTGAACCACGAGATGGTCCTGGATGGGCTCCAACTATGGATGACACCTTTAAGTCTTAACCACAATCCAGACTAATCCCCGCTCACACCGGATTGGCCCGTAAGGGGTAAAGTGCTGGCCAAAGTGGTGACTCCATACGAGCTTTACTCCTTCAAAATGAGGTGATCCTTCTAAAAGTAAATGAGATTCTGCCATTCGTTAGTTTTTTTTAATTTTTTCTTTTTTTAAAATGAGTGCTGCCATTTTCACCTCTATCTTATTTCTGAATTTACCTTATTTTTCCACTTATAATGTAAATTTGAAACAACACAATTCTATCTTTACACCCACCATTATTCCTAAAATACTCTTTAATTATTAGTTTTTAACCCATTTTATTTAATATAAGTTCAGTAGTTTTTTTTTTTTTGGCTGAATTAAGCCATGCGATTTTCAATTTTCAGTTTACAATACGATTATTATCACTAAGATTATTTACAAAGATGTAAATTTGTCTTTAAAATTTTAAAGATAAGGTGAGTGGGGAAATATGACAGTTGGGTGGAAATAGCAACACTCTTCTAAAATTCTTATAATTTTTTTTTGTTTTAGAATTTTATAAGTGTCAAAATCTCATTTACTTTGAGAAGAAAAGTCAAACTTTACTCTTCATTTTTTCCTTGACTTATCATGAAAGTAAATGCTCTTTTCCCCATAAGAATTAATCTATATCTATATATAAAGCAAAAGGCAGAGAATGGTAAAACATTCAAAATACCAGAAAATGTCATTGCTTAATGCAAACATTAAGAATTGAAATTATTAATTAAATGAGGATAATATGGTAAATTCATACTTTTTCATATTAAAAAAAAATTAAAATTAAAAGAAAAATAAGATAATTGATCCTATTTTAATGGAACACAACTACCCATTATCTATTTTAATTCTAAAATAATTTTTAAATTTTAAAAAAAAGCCTCTCGCAGAAGCGCATGTGGAGAGGCTAGTATTATATATGCCTAAAAAATGTTAAATAGTCTTCATTTGTAAGCCCAACCTTGTTTGTATTTGTTTGCCTAGAACACTATACATAATGAAGTAAAGAAATAAAGAGTAGAGGGGAGACTGATGAATATAAGAACAGCTAGAAAAGAAAAAAAGAAATACTAAATAAAAAAAAAAACAAAAGTTGTCTGGGAAGATTAAAAAATGAAACAAAAAAGTTGTCAAGCAACATTAAAAAACAGGATGATCGAGAGAAATCATGCCCTGGCTTAAATTTGTGACCACTGTTTTATTATGCCCTCGCTTAAACTGCACCTTCTATTCATAGTCGAAGATTGTACATAGCAAGACAAACCAAAACCTGATACGAATATTTAATACTGAAATAAGAAAATTAATCATTCCATGTTTATTCTTTATTCGAAGTGCATCCCGTCACATTCATCTGATGATGTGATAAAACCAAAACATATAGCTAGCAAACCTCAAACAATCGCGACTACAAAAAATAATAATTTAAATTTCGATATCCGCCCCCGGTCTGTACTTTTGGTGTAAAGAAATGAAACCATAATAAGGGATGCAAAACTTAAGAGCTAGGCTTCAATGTGTTTCCAATGTCAATGACAAAGCGATATCTAACGTCTGTTTTAGCAAGACGCTCCATTGCAGTGTTCACATAATCAATGGGGATAACTTCAATGTCAGCTGTAACGTTGTGCTTGGCCGCAAAATCAATCATCTCTTGTGTCTCCTTCATACCACCAACGCAACTACCAGCTACTATCTTCCTTCCTAGTAAATTTCAGAATAAATAGCTAGGTAATTAATGGAGAAAAAGATCCTACTTAAACGCAACAAGACATTGAAGGGAGTTTCATCATATGCTTACCCATCAGCAGAGGAAAAACCGGAAGCTCGGGACGCTTCTCCGGTGCACCAACCATAACAAGCTTTCCATGAGACTTCAACAAATCAATGTAAGGTAAGAGAGGATGGTTTGCAGAGACTGTATCAATAATACCATCCATCGTGCCCATGGCAGCCTATGCATAATGAAGCAAAAATTTAAAAACTTGTCAGGTCATCTACTATTTTCTTTGTACGGTCTCAACTGATCATGTATTGTAATGAATCGTACGGTCTCACCTGCATCTGATCTTCATCACGACTGACCAAAAACGAGTCAGCATGAAGATGTTTAATAGCTTCCTCCTCCTTTCCAGGGGAGGTACTGATCACAGTAACCTTAAGCCCCATAGCCTTGGCAAATTTCACAGCCACATGGCCTAGACCACCAAGGCCAGCGACACCTACATGCATACCGGGTTTGTCAAGTCCGAAATATCTCAGGGGGCTGTAAGTTGTAATCCCAGCACATAGGAGAGGAGCAGCTCCATCAAGAGGTAGGCTGTCCGGAACACGAACGATGAAGTGCTCGTCAGCCACCATGATATCGGAGTAACCGCCATATGTGGTGGTTCCGTCAAGGTACTTGGAACCATAGGTGAGTATCATTTGGGGGCAGTAATTCTCAAGGTTGTTGGCACAACTGTCACAAGAACGGCAAGATCCTACCATGCATCCAACACCAACCTTGTCTCCAACTTTGAATTTTTCTACTTTGCTCCCTACCTCTGTCACGACACCAACAATCTCATGCCTGCATTGCCCAACTTATTTAAGTTCACATTTTTTATTGATTAAAATGGATGTCTTAATCCAAAATCATAACTTTTCACATTGTTACCAAAATTTGTTTTTGAATTGATAAAATAATAATAAGTTCTCTCAATAAACATAATTTCTTCCATGCATTTCATGCATACCCAGGAACAAGAGGATAGGTGGAAGCAGCCCATTCAGTGGACTCCAATTCATTCTTGATTAGGTGAAGGTCGGAATGACATATCCCACAGTATGCAACTTTGAATGTGACGTCTTTCTCTCCCGTTTCCCTGCAACCCAAATCAACTAATTAATTCTCCAACACACTCAAAAACTGAGAATTGCTTTTAAGTAGAACAACAAACTTTTTGTTGCTCCTAACGTATGAACAACTTAAATAGAAATGAGTTTATTTTGATTTAATAGATTTATGTATATAATATTTCATTAGAAACTAGCAGAGACAAATACTTAATTACATAATTCCACGATGAATAAAATGATAAATCGAACAAGAATTGGATAAAGAAGATGGTTGATAATATACCTTCTTGAGAAATTGAAGGGAGAGAGAACACCAGATGAATCTCTGGCGGCCCATCCAAAGGCCTTCTTGGGGTGTTCTTGCTCTGTTGACATTTTCTCTCCAAGGCACCAACTAATTGTACTCCGACTTTAGTATGAAAGTCTGAGGGAGTGCATGCATGATATATAGCAGGGGAATTTGGTGTAGGCTGACGTACTGGGTGAGCCAATTTGAGGTCTCTTTCGAATTAACTAAATTTTGTTGGCTGACCAGACAACTTCCTCGGATAAAAGTACACTGATGATGTCGTCACAATGCGTAAGAGCTTACCTACAGATGTTTTGGTTGATAATTAATTTGCTGTCGTTATTACGGAAAGAGGAATACGTTGACAATAACCATGCCTATGCGGGTGTGCTTGGTCAACAAGTATATGCTCCTGCTAGAAAATGCCGTTTATACCATGCCCCACACCTCGATCCATTCTCTCCAAATAATTATTTAAAATAGTAACCAAATTAAGTTTGGTGACAAGTGCAACTACCTACGAGTCGCAAATCTAGAGGACAACTCCCTCTTTTTTGTCTTTTTCCCTCTCTCTCTCTCTCTCAGGTCTCTGTCGCTTCTCTTCATCTTCCCTTTCTTTCTCTCTGGTCTCTGTGATTCTCTTATCTTCTCTCTGTCTCTCTCTCTCCCTCTCTTCATCTTCCCCCCTCCTCTCTCTGTCTCTTGAACAAAATCTCTAGATCTGGATCTAAAGTGGTTTTCAGGACTACTGCAATATGGATTCCATCACCGTCATATGGTTTCTTTGATCTTATAAACATCACAGTCGCGACGAACAATTTCTCTTTTCAAAACAAGAGGATTTGGTTCTGTCTATAAGATAGCCGCCTTCAGAATCATTTCACTTTTTTGTGTATGTCATGTCAATTAATGATTTTATTTCATTGAATGTTGTATGAATCAATTTCCACATTATGATATGATAATCATTTAAAATTAAAAAGAACTTTCGGGCTCGTATATTGCCATGCGATGTGCTACCCATTGATCCATGATATATTAATGGGAAAAATAATTTGGGCTGATAACTACATAATAGGTGGACCCAATATATATTATATTAGTCCCGCTCCTTTTAGCACCCGTATACTCGTATTATGTGAGAACCCGTATATTTTTAATATATATATGTAATTACCTTGCTAAGCAGAGTATGTATAGCCGTTTTATGTTTATAATATTATTTAATTCCTTTGTTTCAAATAGTTCTTGTATGTTCCCTTTATTCACATGGTTTGGATATTTTCCTTAGGATTTTTCTTTTAAATTTTAGTGGTATTAAAATGGTTTATGCAAGTCTATCAAACTTGGGAGTTTATTATTATTATTATTTTTTGACATGGGCTTATTGTCCTAAGCATAGTCTAAAATATTGATAATATCGACGAAATATCAAGGATATTATTGTTTTTTCGGGTCACGGATATTTCGGAACGTATCCATACACATATCATATAAATATCGATAATATCGAAAAATATTGATATCAATAATTTCACTCACATTTCAGCAATATTTTGTTAAAATATCTCTATAATATCGAAAATATCAATGTAATGGAAAAAAGGAAAAAAAAACCACAAAGCACACACACAAAAAGGGGATTCAAACCCTTGCCATTTGACTCCTTCAACGCCTTAACCACCATGTTGCTTATGTTTTTGTGATAATATGCTAAAATATGTATATTTTATATTGTTTTGTTTTGAATAATTACGTGCAAAACTATTTTGGGGGATTTATCATTTGATGACTACTCTTCACAATACACTTACTCTACACATAGAGATGATGAAGATAGTGAAAAATTTGAACCTCATAAGAACTCTGTGTGGTACTAAGTCACTTATGTATCTTACCATGCAATATATAAAGTGTAAAATATTATAGTAAATCATTATATATAAATGATTATGGTGTGTTTAATCTTTTTTCATTAATTACTACATATTTTATACACTCACAGTGTTTGTCAGCTCGCTATATAATCAACTTAAATAAATTAAACCCATCATACAATGCATTTCCTTCCAATTTTTTTTATGATAAACTAATAGATAATTGACTGAATAAACATCCTCCAAAGTTTCAATAAAAATTCCCAAGTTTTTCTTACAATTTTCATGGTTTTATTCAATTTTTATCGATATTGATAATATCCCGATATTTTCATCGAAATTTCTGTATTTTTAGACTAATGATATTTCCGATATCATTGATATCTAAGTAATTAATTATAACTTTAGTTGATCTTTTGAGTTTGAGGTATTAAACCATTAATGTTATTAAGCAAGTAAGAGTTGGCTTAGAAGTGGAACACATGCAATGGAATTATCT